CACAGATCGGTATGAACACTCAGCTGAAATTTTAGTAGCTGACTTGTGGATTTTCACCAATTACCTTTTACTTTTGTGGATTTTTGCACTCCCTTCAATAGCTATTGCTTAGGGGGTTTTACACCTATGATCCCAACAGGTGACTTAGCTCTGTATAAAAGGATCTCTACCCCTGGTCCTCTGGACTGCTCGCATTGAGGGGAAGGGAGAGGTATATCCCTCCTTCAAGATGCAAATAATTTTCATTATGATTACAGAAAATTACTTGTGGTCCCTGTGAAGAAGGGAAAATCCAGATTTTAGATTGCTTTTGTAGTTCTGTGTCCTTCCTTTAGGTGTACAATGATGTAGCTCTGTCTATTTTCAAACAGAAGGAATCCAGCTGAGAGCATGTTTTATTATAACTCCAGATGATGTTCAAGAGGATGAAAAACTCATTTTTCTCAGGTGGTCAGAGAAAATTCCCAGTAAGCTGACATTCTTTTTTCTCTCATCTGAATTCTGCAGAGGAATTCAAATTGTTTATAAAGCTATTTCAAAGATGTTTAAAAAAAAAAGAGGACAGTCCTGGACTTTTTCACATTTGCAATTACTTTTCAATCTCTTAAGAACAGTCATTTAGGTCAGAGTAGTTAAACTGCTATAAAACAGCTGCTAAAGCAGTCTTCTATTGTAAATTAAACAGCAATTTTACCAAACATTCCCATTGCACAACTACATTAGCATAAACACAAATCAGGGTTTTCAAAAACTTAGAAGGGGGAGAGCTGGGCCTAATATAGTGATTCATGACCTCACGATAATTCAACTCCTGGCAAAAATTTTACCAGATTTTGCTACTAGTAGGTCATCTGACATAAAAAGTATACAAAAATAAGGGGAGATGGTCCAAACTGGAACTCCACACCTCAGGGGGAAAGCCAGGTTTCCCTTGATGTTGGTCAGGGTGATATATCACAGGCACAGCTATAGCTTCTGAAATGGCATCTTCTTAAAACATTGTCATCAAGACAGTTCATTTTCTTCAGTTTAACCACAGGAATTATCACAGGAAAATGAGTTATGGTCAGCTACACATTGATGGCATTAGTGAGCAGTAACAACACAGCACTCACAGCAGTTTTCAACTTCAAAGCATTAATGAACAACACCCCTGAGACATCCTGAGGAAGTGGAAATCCTCACTGTGCCAGAGCCAGCGAGGTAAGGTTGGTGCACTGCTGCCAAGAGGACATGGGATGGAGGCAGGGAGAAGAATCTATAATCTCTCAGCCCTATAGGTATATGCTCTGGGTATGGGTACACTCTGTCTTTTCCAAGGCAGGATGGGGTCTTCTTAATCCATGCAATTAAGGACAGACTGATTTCAGCTCCACCTCTCTGGTTGTGACAACATACAAGCAGCACAGGTACAAGGCCTGCTCTCCTTGAACCCTGTCCAGCCTCCTACCACCAGATTTCCCTGTCTCTCGTGTGCTCCAATACCTTATAGCCTTCACAGATAAACTGTTAGAGGATTTGCTTTGGAGTGACCAAAAGCAAGAAAGTTTCATATTGTTAAACTGCATGTAGAATCACTTAAGTTATCCTCCTTTCCATTTCCATGAAATAAAAATGTCTGTAGGAATCAAGATTCAATCCTAGGCTGGCATGAGCAGCACTGCCACTGTGTCCCCAGAACAGGAGGCAGAGACAAGCAGCCCCACGACCAAACTCAGAGACAGCTACAGCAAGGAGGTGTTACCCGTGAAAGGAGATGGGAAACTTGGAAGCTTCCTTAATATCCATTTCCCAAAGCAGGTTAAGACTTGCAATACCAGTACGTTACTGATTCTTCTAAACTCCCATTCTACCCCACACCCTGCATGGCTGGGAACTAGGTCTCAAACACAGAACATGATTCATTCCCGAAAAGCTCTAGAAAGACTTTCCTACCATTCCCTCATTTGAAGCACTGTTGGAGAAGAAAGCAGGAAAGTGTTTTTATCACCTCTGCTTTGTTTCTAGCGAGAAGCAGAGCTGTTCAGAGCACAGGTGATACGGATCCAGTGCCTGATTCTCACTTCAATGGAAATCAGGGGGTGCTGCTGACCTTGACAGAAATTAGTGCCATAAAGCTGGCATTAGTGAGCAGAGGAGCTGCCAATGACCTGCTCTCCTCCAGCCCCTACTGACACTTCACAGAGGCAAGTCTTGTGAAAGCAGACTTTTTTGATTACATTTTGGTTGTGTGTTCATGCAAGTGTGTATGTATGTCTATATATGGAGGGGTTACATAAAGATCAGGGCAGACTACAAGTGGGAGCTGTTCTTTCCAAATTTTATATGTTCCTTGAGTAACAAAAAATTAACTGCGCCCAACTTGGTAAACTCCCTTCACTCTTTGTTCATATTCACTCCAGTATATCCATAATTTTTGATCCTAGACTGATTTCCATTGTTGAGGCCTATTTTCTGTGACTTGAGAACCTGAAATTACACTATATATCTTTGTAGTTCATTGAACTAACCAACATTTATTTTAATTTAGTAAGGAAACATTTGGCTGGGTGTAACCAAATAAATAGTGTGTCTAAACCAACACAAATATACTTTGCACAAGGCTATAAACCTGTCTCGGAGCCCTAATGATATTGCAAGTCAATGAAGCTTCAGTGTTCTCATTAACATGATTCCATCAGACTCTATGTTGCATATTATTAATTTTTAACAATAGATTGTAATATAATTTATAGCACTGTGGGGCAACAAAGGCTGGATCCTGGTAGCAATCCAACCTTTTAGGCTGATAATGGCTTTAACACTGACCTCATATTGAAAAATGAACACGTACAGAGGCCATCAGACCTACTTATAAATAAGACAACAGGGATAAAACTCATCACTAGTCTGTATCATTGAAAACAAAACTTTCCTTGAGAGAAAGGGCACAGATCTTGTCACAAGATAATGAAATTTTGCTGCTGATTTGGATACAAAAAAGTAATCAAAACTTTGTTTAAAGAAATACATTAACGCACTATTTCTGGAAAAAGAATAAAATACAGAATAGCTGATGTTAATCTGTGTACCTATTCTTCAACTCAATTTGGAAGTAAGAACAAGCATATTTTTATGAAGAAAAAGCAAGCCTTTCAAAATCTCTAAGCTGATGACATTAGTACCTTTGCATTGTTCCTCTTCACAGGTTGCTGATGCAACAACTGGTTTCTTCTACAAATCATGGTCCCTCAGCACTTCACTGAGCACTCAGCGAGCCTTGCGATCAGATCTCCGGGTGGGAAGGAATACATCCATGAAATGTGTTTAAGGCAAGTAAGAGGAACTTCTTGTGAAAGGCAGCACAAAACCATTTCCTGGTTAAACAGCATTCTCATCAAAATATGCTTTAGTATTGCTTATACGTATTTTCTAATTCAGTCTTTTGTGCTGTATGTAGAAATACAGTACAGCAGTAATAATGTAATTAGTATTTTCACTAGCTAAATTATAGAGCTGGCTGCAGCATAAAGCATAGTAGCATCAATATTATCAGTTAAGTATTATACAAAAATGACATCAATAGTTTTAGTATAGTCAGGAGACATAATAATTTCCTCTTTCTCCACAATCCCTTTAAATTGTGTCAGATAAGGAAAATCACAAAATACGCTGGCTTTTAGTTCAACTCCAATTCTAAAAATCAGCATCTCCAAGATTTCTTAGGTAATTTTTTTTAGGTTCTTGAACAATATTCCTTTCTGAATATGGTATTAGTTATAAAGAACTTAAGTTCTGCTGCATCGATCTCTCATATGAGTTTAATTTTCCCAGCACTTCTGTAAGTTAACAAAGGAGTATAACAGATACTTCACAGATGAAGATGATGAATCATAGGGATTTGTAATAATTATCCAAGACCATAAAAGCAATCCTATGTCAGTGCAAGAAGTGGAACCACTGGCTTTGCAATCCAGTCCTACTCCATATTTCCTTTCTGCCCTGGCCACATAGGGAGATCTAAAACTCCAACAACCACGATACTGGAAACCAAGTAGCCATTAAGAAAGATATTGAGGCAAGCATGCTTTCATAGATTCCTCACCTGGTGAGACAACAGTCCACCACCCCTACATACCCAGAAAAAAAGAGCACTCCAGTTTATACCAAAGTAAAAGGCTATCCTGTGGCATCCTCCATGCCTAAAAGTCCCCTTTGGCCAAGCTAATTCACAACCCCCTAGACCAAATCAAGAACATTGAAGATCTACTCACACTCTATCCACTTCCTAATTACAGTAACTTTATGCTTTACTTCACAAAATGAGATTCATTTCTTCCTCCACCAGTTCCATTCAGCTCCTTCAACATTTTGTTCATTTGTTTGTTAAGATGCAGATCTCCAGCAGATTGATCGCTTCAGATGAGACAAAGCAATCCCTTGGTAAATCCCTCTGGAAATGCAGAACATATTATATACACAAGAGTTGAACTCCTTGAATTTCCCCTTTTCAGATCCTCTACGTTTCCAGTCATTCAGATAAAGAATGGAGCTTTTGTAGGCCAGTTAATCCATCCACTGAATGAAATATGGTAAAAGTTTTACACATCCACATGTTCTTTCAAGGCCCTGGTTTACATCTGTAGATATAATAATAACTGTATAATGTAGACAAAAATCATTGCTCAGGCCCCCAGAGAAGATCTTTAGAGACTTGGGTTGAAAAGTCCCAACGCTGCAATCAAAGGAACCGGCAACATGATTTAAGGGCTGTCTCCACTTACATTTATTTCTGCCAAAGCAGTGGCTTAATTTTCTTTGTGTGTCTTAATAAGCCACCTCTGTGAGAGGGACTCTTACTTGAAATGCTTGTATGTCCTAAGCTCAGAAGTAGGCACCATTGAGTGGTAAGCTGAGAAAAACATCCAAAGGGGGTGTGAGGCCCAAGCTGCAAAATGAGCCTGTTGTTCATCTTTAGCATCACAGTCACAAACTAGCCATGAAGACAGCATTTGAACGAATTAAAATGCAAATCTACATTTTATTATATGAAATTGAGACAAATTATACACACTTGAAGGCTGCCAGAGTAGCTATTACATAGTTTTAGATGATGAATTAAGCCAAATGAAGAAATGGAAGAGAAACACTGCAGAAACACCTTGAGAAACAGCTAAAAAGCTTTTTAGCTACAGCTAAAAAGCAACTCTTGCCATAGTTACATCAGTAAGCCTAAAATACAAATTAGCAATAATTCTGCTGTAAAGAGCTCGATCTGCCTTGTGCAGACGTGTACCTCCATGGAAGCCTCCAGCCACAAAGTGTATGTGCAATGCAGGGAAGCAGCCTGCCAGCAAGGGACAACTGAAGGGGTTTCACACTACACAGGAGAGGACTTTGCACTGCCACAACCTAATGGGATGTGGCATTGTCCAGGAGTCCTGTGACAAGAAGACAAACAGCCACTGGCCTAGGACAGAACTGCCCAGCCAGTGTAAAGATGTATTTATGCTAGGTCTGATTTAGACTGTGCTCTACACAATCAGATTGCTTTGAAGGTTTGCCTTTTGCAATCATTTCCTTTGTCAGGAATCAGAAAAAGACTGTGAAAAGGCTGTGAACAAATTGTTTAGGCATTGAAATTTAACCCTGTGGAATCCTTACAGTGTAGCACAGTATGACACAGCAGGAGCACATTTGTCAGGGGACTGAAGCCTCTTTGCTCTCTCTGCACAAAACATATACATTAGCATTGTGTGTTGTGGGTGTGCTCCCGAGCACACGAGGCAGCTATGGGTACACACAGCTCCATACCTCTGCTGCCTCCCATCTGCACTCAGCTCCCTGCACCATTTCTGCTCTGTTAGGGAAAATAAAGGCTTCAGATCCTTCAAGACTGTCTGGAAACCCTTCTATTACATTTTCTTTCAGGGATTGTACAAGATTTAATTTTTAAATATCCATAATGTTTGTGTTTGAGTATTACAACAATTATTGAGTATTGAGTATTACGACAATCTTGTTAAGAGACCTAAGTTTTTCTACTAGTGTCCTAGTGTTAATAATGTCAGAATATAACAACCAAAAACAAAAAGGCACTTGATAGAAGCTAGTCAGTTCCAAGGCTCTTCACTTGATGTGGGCTAAGGAAAGAACCCAGCTAGTGTGGTTTCTATACCAGCACTCATGCCACCAACAGTTTCTTTCTGTTAGGCTCCATACAGCAAGGTACTGTGCATCTCCTGCTCCTCCTGAAGGGCAGAGTCTGAGAGCACCAAGTACCTCACAGCAGGAACACAGCCCTCTGTAGAAATAAACCTTAACACCAGATAGCCCACCAATGTTTCTGTGAACCGTTGAAAAATATGCTAACAAGAATAAAAGAAAATAGTCACTTGGAAATTGGCAAAGAAAAGCCACTGTAAATAATTTTCAACTTAATAAGTTGAAAAATAAGTCTTGGCAAGTCTTGCACAAGAAGAGACTATCCCTGTTTGATAAACTCATTCAGTTATATGTTTAAGAAAGTAGACAAGTTTCTCTCCTGCAGAGGTTTTCACTTACTGTCTTTTCTTATGGCTGCCAGTATTTCAGCATCCCATTCCAGAAACACTGTTTATTACTTTCTGGGGAAAAAAAAGAAAGAAAAAAAAAAGACAAAACACACAAAACTGCTGTATACAAGGAAAAAAATGGTTAGAACAAAAAATGGTAAATGACAGTTACATATTAGGGAAGACTATAGGGCTGTTTGCTGTCTCCTGCTTCTGCAATACACCAGAGGAGTAAGTAAACTGTAAAAGTCTTTTCACTCTTCACAAGAAGGTAAAAATAGTTCCAGGATGTTCTACAGACAGGCAAGAGCTCACACCTCCATGTCAATGTGATCTGCAGCTTCAAGACTAAGTTCCAAGTATGTTTCAACTCAATTCTGCAGCAATTTCAGCTCTTGAAGGATAAATCCTAAGCCATCTTAGTCCCATCACTCAAATCAGTGGGACTCAAGTGTCCTCATATTTCCTCTGAATGTGCTCAGAACTTTGGAACAGTGTTCCTGCAGTCAAGCAATTCTTCCGAGCCACACAAATGTGCTGATGACCCACACAGAGCCGAAGCTCCCAGGGTCCTTCCTTTTGTGCCCACAGAAGTTTACTCTGTCCTTTTCAGGAGGAACAACTACACACACACACCAAACAGTTTATTGCTTCTTTCCTCTACAGTGAATTTTGGCTTAATTAGGGGGACTTTTGCAGAAGATGTATTATCTACCATGCCAGGACCCCCACACTATCATATTATGCAGCATTCAGCCCTTGCATCATCATCAGATCTGATCATTTCTTTATTTAGCTGCTACAAACATGTTTGGAGATGCAAAATCATATCACTACTTTCTCAAAAGTAGCAGTAGGAAATATCTCAGTGCAGAAAGAATTCCATAATTAGAAAATGCAGAGAGGCCAGCTTTTTCCCCCTCATCAAGCTTGGGAAGCTTTAAACAATATGCAAAGGCAAAAGGGGAAAATGGTAACAGTACTGAGAAGGCTAAAATTTGAATGAGATAATAACAAACCTTTCTTGTGGAAGGAAAAGGAAATGACTGATTCTAAAAAAGCTTCTGTGATAAATCATCACCCCTGCATGAAATTCCATTCATATATACAGCAATATCTGGTAGTAATGTTAAACAAAAATAAAAACTTAGCAACAAACAAGTTTATAAAGAACAAAATATAGCTTGCTGGAATTGCTGAGCTCTTTCAGTAGTTCAAACAGTAGAAGAAGATTTCAGAATCAAGCAAGAGTTTCAACAGCTGTATTTGTATTACAGTCATAAAGGCATAAATGTGAAATGCAGATCTAATAAAACATTGAAGTTTATAAAACTGGTTGGTAACTCTCCACCCTTTCCAGAAGTATCTCAGAATATCCAGGGGAATAATACCTGAAAGAGAAACATTTTGTTTGTGTGTTAGACTACAAGGCATGTTCTGTGCAAAGTAATGAAACACTGCATATTTCTACTGATCAAGAAAAAATCCTAGCATTAAACACTGGTCAAGGAATTCTACAGTTACTCCCCCACAATGTTTTAAGAGCCTGCTTTTCAACTTACATTACCATTTATACTTGGAAGTTAGGTTTTCAGAAATAGTTTTAGCTTCTTTTAGGGCATGTAGGTAAGTGGCTAGGTTTTAGACAGGTTCAGCTGCCATAAGCATTGTCTTTACTAAGGAATGTAGATGTTAAGTTCTTTTTAAATTATGATCTTTAATAAAAAAGCAGAAGTTTACACAGAACTGTAGGCTGCCAGATGACAATAGTCTGCTGCTTTTCATCAAACATAAGCCCACACCCCAAAGCTAATGGGAAGTCTACATCCATGTATGTGAGAGACATTGATTCTGGAACAAAACAATTTACCACAATGACCTTCTCTCTCTATTGCCAACTCAAGGGTGGAGATTATCCAAAAGGTTTTCATTAGAGTGCCATTCTATGGTGCCATTATTGTCCTATTGTCATCCAGCTGTTTTTCCACAATGGACCAACTACATGCTTCCAATACACAAGCATCAAAGTTGCATTTAGTTCTTGTTTTCCAGGTTAAGAGTATCTGAAATTTATTACTGTATTATTCTAAAAACATACATCTCAGTTTATTTCTGGTTTTGCAGGCATGTAAATTGCCACCTCTGAGCCCTGAAAGCTTCAGCTATAAAGACAGATGAACACACCTCCATGTAATGCATGCCTAAAATATATTCAAGTAAAAATCCCCAGTGTTTTCCATTGAGGGAAGATTTATTTACCTTGTTGATTTTTATTTTCTGGATGGTTTCTACATAATTTAGCTCTTTTTAAAACTCATAAGAGTTCTCTGATTGTAAAGCTAACTTTCCAATGCATTACTATATTCAGTCTGCAAATAGCCTAAAATGACAGGTCTGCAGGACAAACCCAAAGCTGGAGTCTATCATAGCTGCTGTGCCTCAGGCGGCACAACCAGCATCAGGCAGCAGCACAGACAGGCAAGCAGGAGATGGTTGAAGGGGCCTTTTTCTTAATTATATCCCAGCCTAGATGACTAACATTTTTTCATTTACAGGGGGAAAAATAGCTGTAACAAAGAAACATTAATTATATCCAGAAAAATATAAGCAAATGGCCTCTTTCCCTCTGAAGTACCAGCTGCAGGATAAAATTTCTTTATGATTTTGCCTTTACCCATTTGACAGCCACTGTCTCTTCCTTGTGGAGACAAACAGGGCTTCATTTTGTGTGACTTAGTTTGTAGTGACTATTCGCTGAAGAATTCTGCTGCTGTAATTAAAATTGATGATGCAGATTTTCAGAGCCTGTAGAGGGAGTGCACGAGTACAACATCCTTTTGATGTGTTGATGGAGTGAACGACTGGTAAATGGATATCTAGAATCTAGGAGGGCATTTCTCTCATTATTACAATTTAGGATGGTGACATTTTGACTGTAAGCTATTTAATAGTGTTTCTGTATTCATTAAGGGCAAAGTTCAACTTGGTGCAGACAGCTGGTGTATGGTCCTTTTATATAACACTTAAGCCTCGTGATGAGGCTGGGAAGGAAGGGCAGCTGTGGGCAGACCAACTGTGCAGGAGAGCCTCTGGACCCTCTGTACATCAGAGGCAGTTTCAAAGGAGCCTCTGAATACACTAGTTCAGACACACAATTAGGAAAGTCAAGGATGCAACCAAAGGTTCACCAATACCTGTATTCTGGAGCCTAAGTAATCCATAAATAAGTCACCAAAATAAACTTCCCACAACATTTATTATTATGAGAGTGGTTGTACTGAAGTAGGATTCAGAGTTCATCTGGGTAGTGCAGGACTGTTTTCTTTCCACTTTCCTGCAAGAGCTTGATTATTTGGGCTTTGTTTACAGACAAAGAAATTTGATTCCAAATACAATCCAAACAGAGAAAGTGTTCTAATGTATGTGTCTAGGGTTTGTGTTACCACTGGGGCAGTTAACCAAATGTTAAGCTATTCTATTTTTAAAAAAATCATATAAAAGTTAAATTACTATTTTAAATCCTTCCTTTGTGTTGTTCCTGTGAAAAACATTTAATAATAAGTATGAATTTTTTAAATCTCTTTCTCCCTACCTTACTATTTCCTCTGGATAGCAATTGTTAATAGTATTGATATATTCCTGAAGAAGTGACCCAGCATCTGCTTTTATTTCTTGAACCTTTTTAAGTCCACCGGTTGTTACAAAGAGACGACGTGCTTTACTGTCATGTGGTAACACCTACACACAGAATAGTACATTAAAAAAAAAGAATATTTTCTTTTAAATGAATCTGTATGCTACTAGGCTCAAATATTGCTAATGTGTTTTTAATTCAGAGGACAGAGAAAATGGAAAATCAGAGATACAACATCTGTAATGACTACTGTATTATAACACCCAGTTGTACGGGGAAAAAAAAAACATAAACCAGCCCTTTATGGTTACAACATAATTTAACATGTACTTTAATACATAACATATATAAAATAATGAATTGAATATTTATCCTTACATAAATAATATTTCTTGAATTATTCCTACAGAGACAATAAGATCGTGGAGATTAAATAGATAATAAAAACAGAATACTAACATGGAATAACAACAGCATCTGTTCCACTTAAACCAAGTTATTCAGGTCTTTTATGTCAATTCCCACAGTTTAATTGTAGAATTTTATATCATTATAATGATCTAGTATAGATTAGTGCATGAAAACAATACTGAGAATTGTTGCAAGTGAACAATGCAGCCTTGAAGCATTACATGCTACTATTAAACTCCTAGATATTAAAATCCTTTAACACACTGTGTAGTCATGGAAGCCTTTTACAAACACACACACACAAAGCAAAAACGTGAAGTTTCTGCAGCCAAAGGGGATGAGAAGCAGAAATGATCAGATAATAAGATTCTGTGCTCCCTGAGTGATGCCAATACGCAGCTCTGTCCAGAGGACTGGAGGGAGGGAGGGAAGGAGGAAGGTGGGGGCTGGGCCAGGCAAGGGAGAATGACAGCATGTAGTCCATAGCCCCACAGGGCTGCAATAATATTAAAAAAAAAAAAAGGGAAAAAATACAGAAAGACAGAAAGATAATGCAAGACAGCAGCTGCATCTACAGCAAAACCAGATGGGTTTAAAACCAACTCTGAGAGTTACAGACTATGAGGGCAAAAGCACTTGTAAGCTTTAACACTGGTCAGACAAATTAGGCCATAAATTTGACTGTATTTCAGAGTAAAACAAGAGACTCAAATGAGGAAGGGATTGCCTAAAAGGATGAAGGAAAAGGACAAGATTTCTTCCATGCATACAGGCAAGCAGCCTTCATTTCCATGGTCCCTCTGGGCTGTACAAAATCAACAGACAAGTAAAGAAAAAACAGGAGAGCACAGAGACTTCTCCCTAATATATGTTACATGGAAGTGTCAGGAACAACTACGATCTTTTTGTTGTAGGAACTAAACAGACATCTTTTTTCACATATCTCCACAACAAGAACTGCCAAGGAGGAGCTAGCAAGGAGACAGGATATGGCCCTTTCCCTGCCTTCCTCCTCCACACTGTGACTACGAGGCTGGATAAGACAGCAGAAAACTCTTGGAAGAGGCCCTGAAGACAGACAGCACCTCTGAGACACAGTCCCTTCCCCCAGTCCAAACCGAGGCAGCACAGAATAGCACAGATCCTGGAAACTCCAATGCTAAAATGACACAGTCCAGCACCAAGAATGGATAACATCCCACTCTGAAGCACAGCTTGGAAATAAGGCTTTTACTGTGCTATAAATAAACCCACAGAATACCCCACAACTCTAAGAATAGGAAATTCCCAAGCTATGGTACAAGAGAGAAAAATACTTTTACTACAGAGAACTTGATTTTAAAAGTATACTTCAGAAGAGTAAACAAGTATAGTTTGTTTAATAACATACAGACAAAGAAGAAAAACAAAACAAAGCATCTGCTGATATGAAGGGCACAAAACCACTTCAATAGCAAGCAACATTCAAATATACCCTGAATAACCAATTGCTATGCACTTGGCTCATTAATAGCTCCAGTCAGCATGCAGAAGCAAAAAGGACTGGATTCTGGAAATCTCCAGTCTTCATACAGACTTAGCAAGAAGACAGGACAAACCTAACTGTGGCAAGGCAATGTAATCAGGAATCTGCACTACCAACAGCAGTGCTTCTAGATCTGTAATAATCAGAACTGAGTATCAAGAATGTTTTACCTGGTCATTTCCAGAAAGAACATCTCACCAACTGAGCAGGTACTCTCTGCTAACATGTTACACTGCAGAGTATTGCACAAAGATATTGTATAGCTGAGCAGGATTCCCAACAGCTGGTGAACACGGCAGACATTGCAAATTTCCTGATTAGTTAGCAATTACTTAGATAATTTTAAATATTTTTATTAAATTGTATCACTTTCTACATGCTGCATTCAAATCAACAATGTAATAACAACTAATTTTCAAACTTCGAGAGAGATGAGAAAAAATTTGGGATTTTTACATTTATTTGAGACTGAAAATCAATGAGGATCAAAGTAGTGAAGCCTTTATATTATTGTAAAATACCTGACTTAAGTCACTCCTGTACAGCCAGCTTGTTCTTTATCTAAAACAGATGTGACTGGGATTTATGTGATACATTGGCTCAGTGAAAATATTTGCACATGAGTTAATATTCCACTTAATCTCAAGAGGCAAGGAAGAAAAAAACACCTTGCTTATAAGCAACTGTTTTCCCACTCTTAGAATGAATTATGGCAGATTCCAGATGAAACAGTATCCAGCTGTATCAGACAAAAGAACAGGATGCTCCAAACTGCTTTTGAAGGGAATGCTTGAGGATCCTTAAAGAAAACAACTGTTAAAGAAAACAACTGATAACTTTAGAGACTTCATCTTTGGAAAGATAGGTTCCTTGCTAAATGGGAAAAAATTAACATATTACTCATTAAGCAGAGCCTTTTCTTACCTTACTAAACTGCCCAATAATATGTTTCATAATACTGGGAGGGGCATCATGCAGCAATGGTTCAAGTGCTGGAAGATGCGTGCATTTCTGAAGAATGTTCTTTAAGGCTTTTTTAGCCTATTGAAATGCAAAATAAAATTTCTCTAGTAAGACATCAATGAAAACAACAGGAATTCATGTTATATATCACTGAAGTCTGATTAAAAAAGCAAATTGATCAGAATTTTCAATGAGCATTTTCTGAATAAAAACTATGATATCTATCAGGTCACTTAATGAAGAATCAATTTTCTACTTAGATTTATTAAGCCTCAAACCCCACAGTGCATCATATTATGTTATCTACGGTCAAAGTAATGGCAATTTTCCTTTGACTATAATAAAAGCTGGAGTAGACCCTTTAAGTGAATTGAAGTAATGTAATATAATAAGAAAGTTAAATCAAAACACATTTTAAAAGATTGTATTTTAGAAGTGGCTTACTATGAGAAGCTGCTGCTCTGGGATAGCAAAGTGCAGAACTGTCCAGGCAAGGAGGGAAAGAGAGAGTGAAACAATTGTGCATTGGTGCTTAGTTTCTGAAAACAGACTCAATGTTGGCTGCTACAAGCAGTAGTGACCTTCTTGGGCAGGATTACAGGTACAGCTAATTTGGCCTTAGTATTTTTGGGACCACCGAAAATTACTACAGAAAAGTTATTTTACAGATCTGGAATGCAATATTTCAGTGGAATGTACAGAAGCATAGTGCAACATGGGAGAGCATATCCCATTGTATTATACTCTTCAGTTGGTTCACTTACTGTTGCTCAAAAATACACTACTAAATTACAGCTCCACTAGCTACCACATGAGGAAGGCCCTAAACATGAACAGTTGCATATTTTCAAGAGCAGGGCTTTGATTAGCTGTTACAGTTTTATTATAATTATAATAATAAAAATGTAAGAAACACCACTACAGCAACTATAATATTTTCTACAAGAGTTTATACTTGCAAAAAGAAGTAGATAATTAGAAACAAGTCACAAGAAATTATAGCATTTATAAGTATATGCAACTCTCATCTAAACTGGGAAAAAAATAAGGGACTAGACTGCAGTGGCTGTACCACATGATTTGGTATGAACCATATGCACACCCATTAGGAACCAGCCGGTCCTGATAAATGACACACAGCCTTCAGATACCCTGGACCCCGGAAATCTGTGACTCGATGAACATCAATAAAAACACAAAGCATTTAGTAATTTTTAAGCACTTAAATCGCTTAATTACAATTAATTAATCACCCTGAAAATACTACAAATATACTTGCTTTCATTTTAAGATCTTCTGAACTGCGTGTGTCCACATAGATATCAAGCAATGTGGGTAGCACGTTTGCTCCTGCAACATGACGTGCATGCTCAGCAGTGTGTCTTCCAATCTGTCCCAAGGCCCAAGCAGCTGCTGCCTTAATATGATCTTCATGTTCTTCTATCAAGCAGGCACACAGTGGTGGTATTCCCTGTAGCATTAATCAAAAGCACAACCTTTACAAATGTAGACCAGGGAAGGACAATGTGGAACCGATACAGCTGGTTAGAAAATGTTTCTCTATTTACACTCTTCCTGTAAAAAACCCTGTAAGATAATGCATGCTAGTGGTGTAATATTTTTATATCATCAAGACTAGCAAGAATTTTTAATAAATCTTAATGAATATAGTTAAAGAAAGAGAAACAGATTCAATGTTCTAAGTCAAAAGGCAGTTTGAACAAACATGCAAATTTAAGGGATAAAAGGAATACATGACACAGTTCAGGCTGTACTGAGTAAAAGTTGCAGTTTTGTCAAACTAAAAATAAAATAAGTTGAGTGCTTATGATTCTAGGAAAGTTGTTTAAGACTATAAGGGCTCAATCATTGAGTCTTTCTTTTTTATTATCTACTGCAATAAATTTCAAGTTATCAACCTCTTCTCGAGTCCAGTAGTTCATGTTTGACTCATCCAATCATTTGCAGAAAGGTTTCGACTCTTGAAGACATCAGGAGATGGAGAATGCCATCGCACATCCAGTTGTTACTAAAGTTCTTATGATTTGGATCACAGTCTTTATCCTTTCTCCACAGCTACTTACTTTATGCCAAGACTCTTCATCAGGAAACATTTCATGCTACTTCAGGTAAGGCAAGGCTACCAAAACTCTACTGTAAAAACCTTGTTCTCCATCCCATGAATCTTTTCTAGTGTTTTCTGCACACTTTTCTGGTTTTCATTTGGTTTGGGTTGGGGTTTTTTTTGCATACTATATGTTATGTTGTAGCAATTTTCAATTTTTAATTTGCATTCCTACTAGAAGACATTTCTGTTCCTCTATTTTTGTTTTGTTGTTTCCACTCATACAGTATATTTTAAATTACTGACATAGTGTGAAAATGGGCCAAAAATGTTAGTGAAAATATCTCCCTCCTTCTGTCATTAGTTAGTATGATTTACATCAGACTAATATATCAGGCACTAATTTCACCTATTGCAAATATTGCAAATGCTCTCCCTTGTATATCATGGCCCAGCAGATTTTATTTAAACCTGAAAATGTATAGCTTAACTCATTTGAAATGTTACTTGCACAACTGAATCAAACACTAGAAACTGAAGTCTTTTCAAGTTTGAAGATTTCTGTTGCAAGATACTCTAGTGGTACTAGCAGAGTCATGCTAGTGCAATGAAGAACATGCCATTAAACATACTTGATTCAAAAAAGGTTTTGATGTAGCCACAAATATTCATTTTAAGAGGAAGCAGACTATAGAAATTCACTGACTTATTTTCTGTACCCATGCAATTGCAACACAGAAAAATCACGCATTGTAATACAAACTAATCCAGGATATTTTATAAAAGGGTCAACATCATAAGGACACACTTTGATCAGGTTACCACATAATTTTGGTCATAGCAAGTGGCAATATTAGGAGAAAGTGCATTCGTCAAGAGCAAGTATATGATTCTGTCACAAAATATATCCTCTGCCAATGTTCATTTGTATCTCTACCTCAGAATACTGCTGAAGAATTATACAAAGACAACAAAGTGATAGCTAACCTTGGAGACAATCACTGCCATTGACAGGTTCTCCGAATGAGCTGCTACATAACCAAGCATCATGATGCCAGGCAGTCTGACAGTCCCTCTGCAGCTGCCAATACAATCAATCACAGCAGCAACTCCGCCTGAATTTACTATAAGCTGTGAAAGCTGAAAAGATAAACAAAAGAGATTAGATACTGTGAAATATCAACAGGCATAAAGCACTACATTAGAAAAGTCTTTTAATGTATTGCTCCTAATTTACAAAATAAAGCTGGAATAAGAGCGATGTATCATACAGACTGTTGGCAACTAAGTGCAGCATGAAGTTTTCAGGAATGAAGCTGATTTGCTACAGTGTTTTTGATTGACTTTACTGCAAGGAAATCAGGATTCTGAATTCGTTATGCTGTACAGCATGAATGACATATTCTCAACTCCATTATCATACACAGAAGAGATGTGCAGATGACAGCCTAATACATGAATGATCATGAAGATGCACCTACTGACCCAGTTCCATATTAGTGCCCACTCATTCCCCAGCTAACATCATATGTTCTGTGCAGCAACAGACGGAAAGGCCCACTCTTCCTCTCACCTGCATTCTCTGCAGCATAAAATCCTTTGTGAATCCTCCCACTGAGGCATGAAGCCAAGGACAACTGTTCTGGATGTGCAAAACTGACTTGGGCTGCACCATTCTGCCATGTTAGAGTACTCTGAGGGAAGTGTCCAGGGAACACACTTGATGGGCATTGGAGTCTGCCCCGGAATGCCAAATTATATAGCCTTACTTATAAATGATAATCAAGCTATGCACCTTGGTTTTTTCCAAACGGTATCACTTCTCACATCACTTGAGGGACAGCAGTAGAGTATGTATGATATCAACAATGCATAGAAATTATTTCATATTATGATTATTTTCTTCCATATTGTTAAGTATATCCCATTTTCCCGACAGATTCCAAAGCAAAAGAAATATGTTCTTAAAAGTCAAAATTAAATGAACAAAACTGAGGCACGTAAATTTCCAATCCAGCTGATTTCTATAAACATGAAATTCACCTTTTCCTCAGAGCCTTTAAAAGGGGATTGTTTCATTCATGAAACAGCCAGACGAAATTTGCAGTTATTACTTAGGAAAAACTGTTCACATGATTGTGAACTGCAGCCAGTGGCAACCAAGTCTTACGTCTGGACACAGCCATGTTCACTTGGACGCACAGAGCACGCTCCCCACTGCTCTGTCCCTCAGCCCTTGCTGTAAGTCCCCCCAGTGATGACCTTCACATGAATTTTACTGCATATGCAGATTGAGAGCTGGGATCCAAAAGCCACGAGACTCAAATGACACAGCCAAGTCCTCTAGAAATATCATTTGCCAGTGTGCCTCTGCTGCAACATGTGTTGCTTGAATAGAGTTGCTCAGAGATGGACAGTGGTCACTGTCACTCTGAAGTCAAACACAGATTGTGACTTTCCACTGGGAGTCACTTCCTACAGCTCCTCTGGAGAGCTGCTAGCATGGCCAATTCCCCTTGCATGGAGGATCCAGTGCTAGCAGCTCTTCTGACTCTACCTGCAGTCTTGTGAGTTTGGTCTCTGGCTTCTGACTCCAGTGTCCCCCTTTGATAATGATAATTTCTTCACTTTTTGAGGAAGTAAAGTTGCATTGCCCATGAGGTGCAGAGAGAAAGCAGATGTGCCAGGAGTGTAACCTTTAATCACCAGCTTAAAGAGTGGCAGGCTGAAGAAACAGCACAATATTCATGTTTAAACACTTCTCAGTTGTTAAGCTAGTATGATTTTGAAATGGCTGTGTTCAGCATTAGCGTGTTCTACAAATACACTGCTTGTATTTCATTCCAAAGTCATATTTAGAGCCTTTTAATTATCTCTATGGTCTGACAGATTAACATAGTTATAATTATTTGGTTTTTCTATTTATTTTGTATTGACTTTGCCAAACATCCCGACCTTCCTGTATCAGCTATTGGCAAAAACAGTGCAAATGCTGAGACTCAAATTACAAACTCAAGCTAATAACAGAAACTACCATCAGTTTAATAATAAATGAGAGAATTTTTGACCTTCACTGTCATTGAAAAAATAATTAAAATGTGATCCCAGCACCCCAGAAGATTTTTAAAAAGACACACACCATCTATTATTGTTACAGGATGATCACGCAATTTATTAGCTGGTATCCTGACTTCTGTGAGGCTTTTCTCATGATATTTTTAATATCTAGGACTGACAATACTGTCAGCCTAGAACTCCCACTCTGTGCAGATATCTCATAGAATGAAGTAGGTAGGTATACATTTTATGATTCCCAGTTTCCTAACCCAATTCATATTCAATACACATCTCATAATATCAGCAAGCATTTCCATATTTTCCAATGAACATGCCAAACAGCTATTTGCCCTCCCTTTCGAAAAGCAAATGACAGAATAATCCTGTATTTTATTTAAAGTGTAAAATCTAATGATATGACCTTGTATTTGCATTTTCAAGGTTTTACCTCAGGCGAATGCTTTGCTATCTCTCTAATTAAAGTTGCACCATTTTTCTTGACATATTCATCTGAGTCCTTCAGGCATGTGAGCACAACTGGGAAAATTTCTGCTTCAACCACCAACTCTGCAAGATCCACTGAATGCTTTGCTATTTGGCTTAGAGCTGACAGCACCTGACGCTAGTAAATAAAAATTGTTATAAAATCAATAGTATACAAACATCCGACAACACACACTCCCCCTGCACACAAAAATCTATTGCATCAAGGAAAACAAAGCAGGATAGGGAAAACAATTACAGCTATTTTACAATTCACTGAGTCAATTCATGCACGAATATAATGGCACAGAACATTCGCTGGTTCCTGAATAAAAGTTTCTCTTTTGTTTTATTCCATTCAAGCTTGCTATGTATTAAAAAAGCAAATATATATATATATGCCATTTAAAACTTTAATTTAAAATTTAGTAAAATCTACAGAAAATATCTTTATTTGCAAAAGTTGAATCTGTCAAATCTTATATTAAGGATTTTTTATCTATTTGTTTGAAGTGGCATTTTTTATCTATTTGTTTGAAGTGGCATTTGTTTGAAGTGGCATTTTTGCCTTCTGTTTCTGTTAGACAGAAAATTTATACTGAGAAACAATTTTTTTAACCATTAAACTCTAGTGATTAAACCTTTGACAACAACTATTCACATTAGATGGTACATTCTAAAATACAATACATTTACTATTAACTGCTTTATCATATAATCTTAAGTATGCAAAACCTTTTTTGTAACTGAAATGTGCAAATTTTATCTATTGAAAGTATCTGTTGCATTCTTTATATACTATGTATTTCTAAAAAAACCCACACTATTCACTTTAAAGACTAGTTTAGCTGTTCCTTACGGAGCTGCAGTTTTTATCCAGTAGCTAAATTTGTGAATGTGACCAGAACTCTTTGTCACCATCTACGTACTTACATTTTGTTAACACCCAAACCAAGAGCTTCTAAATAAATATGCACATCAGTGTCTTTGATTCAGTATTGAGTAACGACTGGTATAATGGAGATTTTAAAAAAAATTAAATGTACCTTCAGTTTAGCATCAGGGTTCGGGATCATCTGAGCTAAGTGAGCGATAGCTCCTGCATCCACTACTGTCTGTGCTAACTCTGGAGAATGCTTTGAAATATCACTGAGAGTTGAAGCAGCAATCCTTTTCAAAGCAATTTCTGGCTCCTGGATACAGAGCACTAAAAGAGGAACAGCGCCTGCCTCCACCACAGCTTGTGACAGTTCTGTAGGTCCAAGGAAAGTAATTAAGTGAGTATGGGTGACTGACCCTTGTGCAAGCCATTTTTCACCCTGACAGATACAGCAAAGGAAAAAGGGGAGGGTGTAGTTCACTGTCTCGACATCTGCATTTCAAATCAGCCCTCCTGGTTTCATAAACCGTGTGGACCAATCCACAACTGAAAAGAATGCAGGTCAATAGATGGACCCCCATTTACATGCACACATTTGAGGTAGATTAGGCTGAAATGGTTTGTTATTCTGTTTTCTTTTTCTTTTTTTAAAGTAAGCAGATGTCAGCTGTTTAAACCCTGGCTATTCTACACTGATCAATAGGAAAGCATTTTATGCATGGCTAACAACAACACAGAAAGCCAAAGTACCAAAATTTTACCGACCACCTAATTAGAGAGCATTTTACCCTCTTTAAATGATAAGCAGATATTAGCATAGATCAAATGCCAAAAACAAAAATACAAAAAACATACATAAAAGATTTATCTTTCATAAAAGATTGGGAAAATGGAACTTGCTGATCAAACTAGTCTTTGCTACCATACATGGGATTAGACAGAATTTATACTTTAATGGCATGAAAATGTTATCAGAAACAATTAGACAAATGAGAAATATCATCAGTGAGATATTGTGTGTCTGAGATTAGCACAATATCCTTAACTAACTGCACCTTATATTAAAAAAAAAAAAAAAAAGGAAAAAAAATCTGAGCATATGATTAGCTGACATGGACAAAAATTACACTATTAGAAATTCATTAGCTCTCTCTGTGTATGCAGCATTAATCACAGTCCTAAAATGAGAATTACTGAATATCAGAAGCAAAATTTATATTATAACCAAGCTGTGCTATTTTAAAATAGTGTTGAAAAAGTGGTAAAAATCATAGGGGATTCAATAATCTATTAGGTTCTTCATTCAGTTTCGCTACACCTTATTACGCATATCCATTATTATCTTTAACATTTATCTTGACTTACAGTACCATGGCAACATATGGCTGTTGTATTTCAAGACTCTAACTTAGCTTTTGATTTATAGTCCATCCATAAAGAGATTTTCATACTAAGAAAAATACAGCATACTTCATTAAATATACATAGACTAATATAGTTTTTCATGAAATCTGTAAGTCATGTCATCATTACATTAATATCCAAATAACATTCCAGACCGGATTTGTTTTCAATTAGTGAGTTACAGCCACACATTGCAACACATGTGATAAGTCAAATATTTACACTATGTATGTTATTTTATGATACGATATTTTAAAGAAAATATAAATATTACATCACAACATTATATTAAATAATGCAGTAATTTTTAGACTAATACAAAATTAACCCTAAAAGGTTCACTTTTCAAATAACTATTTGACTAAAAATTTAGCACGTGCATCCTCAAAATACATACAAACCTTAAGATTTCAACAAAACTCAAATGTTGTATCTTCGGTTTTACAAATTTGAAGTGAGATGTACCTGAAATGTACGTAAAAACAAATCTAAAAACTAGCCACTGTCAGCTTTTCATGGAAAAAAGCCATACTCAGTTTCTTCAGACTGTGTTTTGATGTGTTTTGGTAGACTGACCAAGTGGAATACATTGTGATCTACTGACCAACAGTCCAGATTAATCCATCTGACTGTGCCTCAGAAGCAACTTCACACCAACCAACTCAGTTGCCTACAGTCTGCTAGGAGATGCTAATATCAAGAATATGAGGTCAAGAGGGACATGGTGCTAATTAGAAGAATGGGTTTCTTTGATGCCTTATGAGCTAAAATCATGAAGTTCAAGCAGGGAGAGAAAAAGCAATACTTTAAGGTCACAGCTACATCCAGGCATGCAAAAGTAGCCATAAAAGTTATTTGAAAAGAGCTAACTAAATCTGATTCAATTTAGATCAGCTGTTGCTGTTAGAAGTCTGATATCATTTAAATACTGATGGTTATTGTTGGTCATGGGTAATTAAATGGTTGTTCTTCCAGTGGTGTTTATAAGGTTCATGGCTAATAACTTACCACATGGAGGGCTGGACCATGTGTCAAAAGACAGACAGGTTGTAAATGGACTCAGAAAAACAGAAAAGCTAAAGAAAAAAAGAAAATATAGAACTTCCCGTGACATTTCTCTGCAAACTCAGCCCAAAATTACATATCTAAGTATTAATGATTCTATTATAAATTGTAATTCTTCTTTTTTTTCCTCAAGAAAAGGCTCAATTAACCTTGCTACTTGGTAGAACATTTTTAATGCAGACTATACACCAAAGGATTCATTGAACTTTTCCATCCAATTACAAACACAGACAGAGGTGGGCGAAAAAAATGAAGACCGAGGAGTTAGAGGAGAGAACAAAGTTGTCAACAAGAAATTTTTAAAAACAAATATTCAGCCAAAAAAAATTAAATTTTTATAATTTGGAACAAATTACAAAAATACTTTTCCAAATACTATGCCAAGGCTGCATTATAAGGGCAGAGACAAGACTGACAGTCTTGAAGAGGAGAAAGGCAGCAGAGAAAAACTAATGTATGAACCTCATTTAATTCCACAGAAGGTTTTGAAAATCCTAGGCTTGGAACTTCATTTTGAAGTACAGCTCAAGGAACCTGTCCAACTACATGATGATAAAGTTCAACTCCCTCCATGAGTGAAAGTGCTGAGAAACAAGAGAATTAAGGTTCAAAACCAACCATATTTTGCCCAGATCAAAATAAAGAAGATTTTAGCAAATGGAGACACTCTAGACAAGACTGAAATGGATGTAGAAGAAAGACTGATAAGACAGTCTTTAGAGTTTAAGATGTCACCAGTTCAACTAGAAGTTGTACTAGGGTTGCACTGATTTGTGTCAATACAAAAGTACTCATCAGGGACTACGAAATTAATTCAAAGTAAGTTGAGGCCTCGTCACGAGTTTATGTGATCAGGACGAGTGGAAAGCTAACAAAGAGGAGTGAAGATCCTAACTACATACCCACTGAAATCAATGGAAAGTCTTACAGGATTATTCTAAACTGTTTTAAGATGTTAAAAAAAAAAACCAACCTAACTTTAACTAATGCTAATATGTTGGCAATAATAGTATGGATAAAGCAAAAAATATTAGGGAAAAAAGATGAGGGTGAGAAAGTGAATGTGCAGGTAGTCCTAGAGAAGGAAAATTGGCTCTGAACAATATCACATTCATATAGTGGAGCAGCAGCAAAACCTTTGGTTGGGAGCAAGTGCAAGTTTCAGTTCAGATCAGGGTTCTCAAACAGACCCCGCTGTGGTAGCAGGTGTATCCACAGGAAACAACGTGTTTTAACCAAATCAACCACCAACACCGTATTTTTCTGAGGACTGTGTGACCATGTAATGGCCACATAGGAAGACTCTAATCCCCACAAGTAGCCCAAAGGCTGCACTTCCAAATCACAAGTTTACGGAGGCCACTACAACCACAGTGCTAAAGATTCCACTGGAACCAGTGGGAAAACCTTTCATCAGGAGAAGGATGGAGGTTAGGCTCAAATCACTGATGAGCTGAGCAACCTGGTCTAATCTTGTAGCAGACGCTGCTTAGAGCAGGAAGCTAGACTGGAGACCTCCCAAGGTCCCTTCCAAGCTGAGCTATACTATGATCCAAAGTGTACCACTGTATGAGAGAAAATGAGCAAAACTCTGCTCTCAGCAATATGATTGAGTATAAATAGTGGGGTTTGTTTGGTTTCCTACCAATTTACAATATACTGAAACAGGTGTGAGACAATTAATAAATTACACCTATAATGTAGGCAAAGAAAATGGAAAGTCAAATTATTTGCATACTTCAAACAAAAGAATTTTGCATTTTAAAAGTAACTGAGTATGGTCTAAGTAAAGTTCACAAAATATTTTTCCTGGACTTGATGGTATTTCAAACACTTTACACTTCTTTTTAAACACAAATATTAGAAAGAATGAATGGCAAAATTACAGCACACTGATCTGTACACTTTGCAGTTAAGATCAGCATCTGAAATTCATCTCAAAGATGAACTTCTTCTCTTCAAGAATGAGGAGAACTGCAAGAGCAGTTCCTAAATTCTGGAATCTGACCTGGCAGGATTTCTCGTGTCTTGAAATCTCATGAGATATTTGTTTTGACCTAAAATCTCACAAGCCTTCGGGAGACATCTGTTCACAGAAACGAAGAGATTGTTGGATGAAGTCAGTACAGAACTTGCTAGGCAGAGAATGTTTCCATCAGGAAAAATAAAAAAAGAAGAAAACCCTTGATTTCTCAAAATGGAAGTCTTTTCATGGAACATATATTGTAGTTCTTAGACAGCAGATTTACCAGATCATGGATGGAATTTCTGATTAAAAGCAGAGAGACCCTCACCACTGCAAACAGTTATCGCTGAATGCTGGGAGCCTTTGATTGCACTTAGGAAGACAGAGGTTCACATCCTATCTAACACAGATCAGAACTTTAATCTGTCTTTCACATACTTCCCAGAGATATGTTGTAATTATTGAACTTTTCTTGCTGGGCCAAATAAATCTCCCTATCCCCCAATTTTTTCAAGAGAGAGAAAAAAAGTCTCAATATTATCCCAGTTTGGAACTGAAACAATTTTTGAAACTGAAAAACCTTTTATAGGTGGGGAAAACCATTTCACACCCAGCTTTATTTTAAGCTGCATTATGTGTCCACAGAAAGGTAATGACAAAAAATTATAACTGCCAAATTTTGTCAACACAAGCATTTGAGTCTAATCCAGAGTTTCTTGAACAGTAAACACCAGATGTTGATAAGAACAAGTTCCCTTATCTCTGTATCCCATCTCCAACAATATCCTGTTGCAAAGGCATGCTTGTAGGAGTGTAAGAAACATACCATACAGAGAGTGATCTTTTCTCAGTAGAACGCCTCTACTTTCAATAATCATATTAGAGACTTCCTGTGACTGTGTTATAAATAAAATAAATAAATCCTCTAAATTAGCTGTAGCTGGGCAGAGGAAGAACAATTTTTCCAGGGATCTTTCGGTGGGGTTTTTTGGGGCTTCGTTTGTTGGTTTCTTGGGTTTTTTTCCACTGATTGCATCTAGTGATCTGTCTATGTCCTCATGCTTGCAGCTTGGTAGCACATTTTCAACCTAATTTCTGAAAATGCTGTTCTTATTGCTGTCGTAAATTGACATAAGGTATGCACCCATTCACCATCAGTGAATAAATTATTCATAACCATGGAATAAAAATTTGTACGAAGAATTTGTTGTCTTCAATACCCCCACATCACCTCCATCTTTGCAAACAATGCTGTCACAGAGTGAACTGGATCACCCTAAAGATCCATCAGCATTCATGCAGTGAATAGCATGAAGGGTAATTGAAGTGAGTCAATATTGATTTACTGACATAACAAAACTGCAGAAATGTTTATGTTAAGAGTAACACAGACACAGACACACTACACACATTTACACAAATGAACACTTTTGATATTTAAATATTTCAGATGGAAGGAACAATTATTTTCCACCAAGGGTGGGATTCAATCCTGGTGACCAAAAGACAAAAAGATCTTTACCAGAGAGGTGCCCCAAGAATTAATCTGTTGCCCAGAAAATGCAGTCTGTTAGAAAGGTCCTAACAACTTTGGAGACTGTCTCAGCACTTTAACCCTCTAAGTGGGAAGGGGGAATCCCTCATGCCTTCTGCAGTCCAACAGTCTGTATTGATTAAAGAAATAAAATCACTTTCGCAATCTATGTACATTTTAGAGCCAAGTATAAAACCATGAGTTAATGTTATGATCCTAGAATTAGTTTAATTTTAAACAATATGAACCCTAGCCATTTCTCCCACCCCTTCCAGACAGCAGTTTCTTCCCTCAGTTCTTTGATTCATAGCTCTAAACTTTTACTTGAACTATATAAATAGCTGGTAAAAGAACTATCAACCACGTGGATCAGCTTTTAAATAGGAACATGACACCGCCAGTGCGTTATACAACTGCCTGTGAGACAGCAGTGAACTGCTCAATATTGGATTCCTAGGATCTATTCCTGACTCTCAGAGAGGAGTGTGGTCTACTAGCTAATGATAATATAGTCACTGCAATGAATTTGGCCTATTTATCCTGCAAACGCTGCTGTAAGCTGAATGAAACTTGCTTCTCCCTAGGCTTGTCCATTCCACTATGTATAGAAAGTAAGAACTAATGTCAAGCAAAAGAACCTTTGTTCTGCAGTAACACTCACACAATACATAAAGATTCAGAAATTTCTTCATGAAGATGAATAAAGCAGTGTCCTTTCTTGGCCACAGGCCAAACACATCTCCTCTTAGAGCACTTCTCACAACCAGGCACTCCTGGTGTCAGGTATCCCAGTTTCCCACAAAAGGTACAGCACTGTAGGAATGGTACAGTTACATTAGGGTTTCATCCCAAATTTAGAATTTTATAACAGAAGAAAAAGCATCTTATTCTATTTATCAAAATCATGCAATTTATTGTAATTATCATATAACATTAAGCTGAAAGATAACATGTGAAACTTGTTACCTGGATTGTGTCGGGCAATATAATCAAATGCCCAACATGCACCTTCTTTGACTCCAGGGTCAAAGTCTTCCAAGCAAATCACCAGTGTTTCCAGTGCTCCACTCTGAACTACTGCCTGAGCTAGCTGTGGAGAATGTTTAGCAATTGCTCTTAGCACAAATGCAGCTGTTTTCTTGTAGTAACGCTAGACAAATCAGAAAAAACAAAACAAACAAACTTTCACTAACATTAGGTAGTTCAAAGCATAATACAGTACAGGCATGCCTAAATTAGACTTTTTTAGTAGCAGCAATATCTCATACCAATCCAAATCAGGACCACTAGACATCACACAAACAACAAACCTACAGTTCTTTGAGACAGCTCACGATCTAAAATCTACAGTAAGTGCATAAACAAACAGAAAAAATGAGAGAGCTAAGAGGATATGGGGAAAAGATAATAGTCTAGATAAGTCTGTTTGTTCAAGTGAGTAGTGAACGACAAGAGCTGCAAAAACAATAGCTCTTAACATATTTAACCAGAGTACACAGGTTATGCAGGGCAAGCTCCTAAAATAATTCTACCCATCTGTGATACTAGCAAGGTATCACAATTTCTAATGCAGATACCCTCACAACATCTCTATGAGAAAACAATGTTTACATTTACAAACAGGAAACTAAAAGCATTAGATCCAATAAAAGGGTTTAGGATCTGAATCCTGAAATGCCTAAATACTGCCTAAAGTCCACAGCTAAGATCCTGAAAACCCATCCCTCCAACACCCAATACTGAATGACCCTACGTTTTGACCAAGCAGCCTGCAATTTTACTCCTGCATGTGTGCAGAAACAGCTCATTTTGTACAGGACTAAGCACTTCAGCATCTCTGTCATAAGTGCAAGCAAGTCTAAGCTCGTCTCAGTTCTGTCCATCCTCCTCAGTGCTGGACCAAATACATGTTTTGAGCATGCATATTTAATATATGACACTGCACAATCATGGGGTTCCCATGTAAACTGCAGCAGTAGTTGTAGTTTCTTCTAAAAGCACAGGTAAAGTCTTTCCCCAAAAGTCACATTTCAGTCTCCTCTTGCAGTTTCATAACTCTCATTGGGGTGTGGAAGCCGAACATTAAGTTTCTTCCACTGCCTTATAGTTTCAAAATCTAGAGCCTGGTTAAAGTACTCCAGCCAGAGAAAACTGTGTTGTGAGACAGCTCTCCTCCCTCGTGAACGGCAAAATTCATAGGGACACAAGTAACCTACTGCTATGTCCATGTGCCCAGAGTATGGTCTCCAGCCTGGCCATTGACAGATCATCCCTATGGACAAGCTCTAGAGGACTCTCCCTCCACATGCCACCTAGCTTTGATCTCATCCCAAGACGATCGATTCTCCCCTGCTCTGCACAGGGAGCCTGGGCACTTTATAGTGCTAGATTCCTACTGTCAGTATACCCAAAATTTAAACAATGCAAAGCCCACATCCCTTTTGGATCAAGTCCAGAAAAACAAAGAACCACGTCAGTGTTTTTTTACATCCTGTAAGGTGCCCAAACACCTTCAAAAGTCTGATCTAAAGCACTAAGGTATGGCAACAAAGAAGTACCTGCAATGGCCCCACAGGAAGCAAAATGGACCCAGGCCACTCCCTGGCCCTGAAGGAAGGTGACACAGCATATCACATTCATCCACCTGAACTCCTCTTTCCTCAAAGCACAATGGCCTCGTCTATGCTACTGGAAACTGTCCCTGCCTTGTGTTATCTTTAAACCATGTCCAGGCATTGTTGAGTAGTCTGATGGCTGGCATTGGCTAAAACCACATCAGAGAGCCTGTTAATGATTAACAAGCACAGTCATCTTCCAGTGCTCAAACACATGGCCTTACCTTCCTTAGTTTACCAGTAATGATACAATTCCTTAATGCCAAAAATCCAGTCTTCTAAGTTAAGGCCTACAAGCAGGTACATTAAATATAATTTACAAGCAAAGCATTAGACCTCATTTAGGGGGAACAGAAGTTAAGGGAAACAGAACAGAAAAATGGTGAAATTCCCAGATAATTTAAGCTCCCCCAAGTTTTGATGAACTCAATGGAGTTATAGTTGTTTTATATCAGTCTATGTCTGTGCAAATATGGGTATGTTATTTCTGTTAATTATGCTCCTGGCAAAGAAAAACACTTCTTTGTTTTTATTATTCAAAACACATTATTTACAAACAAATCATATTCACAGGCAACAGTCAAAACACACTGTAAAACCAGATTTTGCTCTGTTTAATTGATAAAACATTGATCTGGGATGTGACCCTGTAACTGTTCACCATAAATCAGTAGAAATAGTATTCATTGTGTGCTCCAAGAACCTCATCCTTAAATATAGATGTTGATACATTAAGATTGAGTGGAATGGAAATGTTTTCTTTTGCCTATGGGAAGTAGCAAACTGTATGCATTGCTAAACTCTGCATGAACTGGATAATGAGTTTCACTTGCTCTCAGTCACCAAGGCATATTATGCTTTCCATGACCTCAAACTAGTCTTGCTGCTGCCCCAAGTAATTCTGAATTACAGCTATCTGAGTGTAGTGACAGCATGGGCAGTAACATGGAAGAGATAAATCAGGGTACTCCAGCTAATTTAGTGAGAGGTTTCAGTTGTAGCGGGGGGATAGTTTCCAAACCAACACAGAGAGTAGTTGTGTTCTGCTTCTTCCCTTAAAAATAGAAATAAAATAATCAAAATGCTTATAAACTTGTCTAATTAAAACCTTAACTTTCTTTCCATACTACACCAGTATCTTGCCATCAAAGTTATTCTTTAGGGTTTTTTTCCCCCATGATTAATGATTCTATACGCACAAAAAATATGCAATGAGTACTTACATCTATGTTTTCCTCAAAAGATTGAAAATGAAAATATATAGCTTTCCAAATTGTATTTCCATTGAAAACCTACTTCTTCTAAATCAAAAGTGCAACCTTAGCATGGCCATGATATCAGTGCACTTAACTCTCAGCTGTCTCTCTCCAGTTTTTAGGAACCTTACTAGAAAGTATTTCTGTTAATCTAGGTTAGCATCACTGGAAAATCAAAGCTGGAGGAGACATGGAGCTTGAAGAAAAATGTGTAAAAGGGAGTAAAAGAGACCACCAGATGTATTTGCATTGCAATTGTGACTATATTTTGTTTGGTTTTGACAAATATGAAAATGAAAGCCTTTTAGTATATTTTTCTATGCCAGTGGTTTGATATTTCTCGTGCTACAGATTTCCAAAAGCCTATGTTTGGAGATATCAAATATTTCATTACAGAAGTTCAGGCTTTTTATATGTATTTTACAATTGTCTGGTATTATTGACAAATCCTAGTCAATTACCACCCCAGCTTTCAAATTGTCTCATTTTTAAAGAGAGAGCTTTTACAAAGCATCACTCAACATTTTAAAAACATTTCAGTGCAATGAATGTATTTCCTATAGTGCATTAAACAGTAATACGATATTTTAAAGTCAAGTTTATTTCAAGTCAAACTTAGGCACACAATGATCTCGCAGAGGTTCAAACACACATGCTGCTCTGACTTCAGTACATTTAATGTCATATTAGAATAACAACAGATGCTGATACAGAAAGATTTCCCCTTCCCTGTGCAATAGTTAAAAAAAAAATATTACTTAAGAAAACAATCATGCCTTACATTCTCCTCAGGCAATGAACGCACGAGCTGTGGAAGAATGCCTGCCTTCACAACCGCCTCTGCCAAGTCCACATTATAATCAGCAAGTCTCCCGAGACCCAAGGCAGCAGTCTGTCGAACACTTGGGACAACATCCAGCAAAAGAGGTCTCAGCAAAGACACTACACCTGAGTTACAGCAAGAAGAAAAGAACCCATTTGGTAAGCAGAAATTTTTCTAAACATTTGCCTTTATTCGTAAAAACCTACTCTTCCAGGTAATAAGAACATGTAGGAAATCCAGGTGTTCCACTGAAATGAAGTTGGCACTTGAATAGCACTGCTGACTGTTTCTGACCATTTTTCGTAGGTACAAAACAATTCTGAAATATAAAAAAGTCATATGTAGAAATAAGCTGTATCCAAATATCTGTAAAATACGTCTTAAAGTTTAAACAAGAAAATAAGGTATATTTAAACATATATAAAATGCACATGTTCACATATTCATGGGAAACTCCATCCAGAGGTCCTGGTGAGAAGACATTGTCTTGTCACTCATTTATCATGCCAGCAGAACCTCTCATTGAATTGCACCAAATTACATTTCATCTGTTATAAGCAATGACTTGGAGACCAAAATCCACACTATATTATACTCCAGATAGAAGAGCCGAAGATTTTCTTATCATCTTTATGATGTGTTTCCACTCATGAGTTCACAGTGTATCAGTTAAGCATAAAGAATATGAAAGTACCAGCAAGGGGAACTATAAGGAACTAGAAACTGAATTACTGGATAACAAAATGGTAAGTGAAATGGAGCTCAAACAGGAAACCCAACCCCAACCTTTTATATGCAGTGATGGACCCCAAACAGATTACTACCAACCGGAAGAAAGATCTCAATGTGAGAGCAGACATGTGGAGATACCAGCTCTTGCTCAGTAGCAGAGAAGAAACTTTACCCACAGAAGTACACAGGGTGCTCAGGATTATCTGGAAAGGGGTAGAGGCCAAAGCAGAGACCATCACTATCCTACATTTAATACCCTCCAGTAGAGCAGAACTGAAAAAGGTTCAGTGAAAGGCAACAAGGATGATCCAAGATGACCAATCTGTATCTGGAAGCTCCTTCTACAGTTAAACTAAGGCTCTTCAATAAGGATAGAAATGAGATTCACTTGGTTAAATAAAAAATGTGATTTCTAAGGTCTGGGAAGGGAAAATCCCTTGTATTGTGATTCTTCAAATGTGTTCTCCCTCTACCAGCCAGCTGCATGAATTAACACTTTAGAACTTTATACCTCAGCCAGAAAGCAGAGCTCTCTGAAAACGCAGATGTGCTACAACAGAATACTGAACTCTCAGAGCTACACGCATTATCTTCATATCAGCTTTCTCAGTCCTTTCCACTACAATTTTTTTGGTAACAAAAGGAAAGATGTAGTTGGGTGACTGTGGAGGAAAGCAAGACTTCCCTCCCCAAGGGCTCTTGTGGTTATTAGCAGTGAGCAAAGGTCTTTCAGTGTGACAGTCCCACAACAGGGGATCATTGCCTAATGGAAAGTAACACCCAGGTGTTCAACAGGCACACCAAGACAAAGAAAAGCTGAGGACCTCAGAGCAGGGAATAGTCCAAAGGGATGGAGGCTATAAGAAATTACACCCATAGCATACTTCCATATAGAAGGACACGGAAAAGGAAGGAAAAAAAAGTAAGTTGAGCGGCAATATAATTCTCACCTTTATTTTACATCAAAGCCAATTGCTCCAAGAAAGAAGAAAATAACCTAATAATCTATACATGGCTCTGAAGGAGCTGGGAGTGCAGAGGTGGAAAAACTAACTGTGGAGGCCATGCTGCCCACTAATGAATTTGTGGGAAAGTCAATATTCCAGACAAAAGCTGCACTGTCATGAGAGGTACAGCCTCCCAGCATGTTCACAAGTCAAAATAAAACAGGTCTCAGGGGGGCACACAATAAAAGAAAAAAGAGAAAAGTAAAATAAAATTGTGATGTCTAATAGCACTACAGAAGCACCAAATAGGGCTCTGTAATATGCATTAATTGAACATGTACGTGTAGTACCTATGGAACAGGTCTGCAATGTAGCTGGCACCTGCTCACACTTCTGTCAAAGCCACTGGGAGCTGAAAGAGGCCTCCCGTGTACAACTGACAAAAGACAGATCCTCCAGTATTGTAAGATCAACATGAATGCATTTAGCACTTTACAGAAGTCACTACTTCAGAATGTGGTCATCATATTGACATCTTCTCACAAACTCCCCAAATAGCAGGTATGGTCTCATTAGCAAGTTATGCTTCATATAAAAAATGCACTAAGTACTTTATATGACAAATTAAAAGTAAAAACAAACATACGAGTTGGGGCCAACACTGTATATCATCTATTACCTTCTCGTAAGTCATCTGCACCCTCTGTGGGAGGGCATTTCTTGTCCTTCCCTCTAACATCAGTTGCATGGTCAAACAGCTGCTGAAATTCCTAAGGGAACCTCATGCTTGCTGTTCTGACTCTGTGTACATTAAAGGTATTTCAGTAAAGCAGGAAGAGTTAGAAGTAGTTCATTTGCATTTAGTGGACACAGATTACATTTGAGCCCCTGACTTGATATAGTATGAAACAAGATTATTTAATAAATTAAAAAAATGGAGGAAAATATTTCGTTTTATTGATACAAAAGAGACTGTTAGAAGTGGTTGATGGAGACAGAAAGGAACACTTCAGTGTGCAGTGTCTTGACCCTAAAAAAGCCAAGAGCCTGATGGCTGGGACATTGAACCAGGATGTGTCCAACTGGTAATGTCAGTTCTGGTGATGGTCTCGAAATCCAGTGAAATTTAAACAGACTAGAATCACTTTACCCAAGAGCTAGGTCCGGACCATGTGACATGTTTCCGGTCTTAATGACATACCTACACACTGCAAAATGTAAAACCACATACAAGAAAGTTTACACATACATATGCTTCAAGTTGTCCCAAATGTGAGATTTATATAATTTGTATTTTCAAGATTAGTTGATACAGATTTCACTTTTAGAACGGGGTAAAAAGCCTTGAGTCTGGAAATGTTTCCATGCAGCATGCCTCCCCATCACCAATACCATTCATTTCATGGCAGTATAGACTTTGTAAAGTTGGGTGATAACATTTAAGCATCAGCACAAAATGTTCTACTGCGAATTATTTTAGCTGGTGCAGCTTAAAGTGAGGAAAAAGATGAAACGTGAAATGGGAGTTACTGTTTGAAGAAAGAGCACAAGAGGCTACAATAAGGTTAGGAAAAAAAACAGGTTTAGAAATAACAGCAACTGTGCTGATCCTCAAGGAGACTATATTTTCTTAAAATGATGTCTGAATGTGAGAAGAGACAGTGGACAAATAATTATCATAGCAAGAATTTTCGAGGAACAAGACAAAGAAAAATCAATTCCTGTTGTTGTACAAGCCTTATACTGACATCAGATTAACTGAGAACTGAGAGAAGTGCATAGGCCTAGATTATGCCTGCACATTGAACACAATTGAAAGCTTTTACCTTTACTTTCCACCTTCTCTTAAAACCACTTTCTTCCTCTGTGTTGAAATGCTATCCATCATCTCCAACTACTCTTTAAGACCAAAGGCTTGAGCAGTTTTCATCATTGTCATGATTTTTATATCTTTAGCAAACCTAGTATTTCTTTCTTTACAGCACTTAGAAAAAAAAGAATTAATTCTGAGAGCATGGAAACAGCTACACAGATTCTATAGTCTCCACTAAAACATCTACAGGAAAGATATCCACCATCCCTTCTATGACTTTTGAAGATAGTGCAGAAAAGGGCAGATGCGTCTGAAACAGGGTGAAGCTTTCCAGCACTGGCCCCAGCCCAGCTCTTTCTCCCAGAGACAGCTGTATTTGGTGAGCTCCTCTATTTGATCTCTTCCTGTCAACTATCCTGTCTACAGCAAAGTCTACCCCTCTTCTCCAAAGAGGTCCAAGCCAGGAATCCTATCAACCTTTTTAATTAAATTCAAATGTATGTAACATTATCTTAGAGTGGGAAAATAGGCAAGAACCTTCCAACAACTTCCTTTTACTTTACCATTCACCCAAGTGAACAAGGTCGTACAGATCAGGGAGTAACAGTGTCTTGCTGCTGAAACTTTAGAACTCTTAGGTCTTCTTCCAAATAAGTCTGTTGTGACAGAAGTAGAAAATTCATTAACTCTAATTCAAAGGCAACCACACGCATAGTAAACTACAAAATAAGGCATTTAGACCACTGGACAAGATTTGTTTTGGAAGAGTTCCCACTAGCACTCAGAAACTGAGTAACAAAGAATTACTGCCAAATATTCTCTCTTGCATCACAGAACCTTGGCTGACCTCGGGCAAGGAACGATTCCTCTTTCTATCCTCAGTTTCCCACTCAGATTTGTTTTAAAGAATGACACACTTTAGAAGCTGAATCACACACTTCTCAAGTGGAGCTGTTATGTACAGGCCTGATGTACTTTCTTTTAGCAAGTAAATGCTGGCTGCTGCCTATCTGGGGAAAAAAGAAATCACTCAGGGCAGCAGCAGGTTCCAAATTTTTTTAATTTGAAGTTTCTGTAGCCAAACAAATAGTCACTAATCTGGAGAGAGCAATCTTTGCTTGGTCATTTTGATTTCTTGGGGAAAATCACCTGGAATCCATGCAGAATACTTCTACCCTCCTCCCATCCCCATCAAATCCTTGTCAAACTTGACTAATCACAAAACAGAGAAACGTCACTACATTGGAAATTCTTTCCATTTCTACACCTGAAGATGACCACTCCTACCCTATTCTCCTTCCTTGAAGGAAAGTTTATTTCTGTTTTAAAATGTGGAGTAAAGTCATTCAACACTACTGCTGTTTCTGGACTCCCTCTTGTCTTGAAGATTCTGTCCTTCTAATTTATGTTTTGGACCAAAGATAACATATCACTTTTGTTTGCTACCTCTTACATTAAGAACATTTACTGAGCTAACACTGGCACTCATACATTTATCATATCAGCTTCATTTTTCAGAGCCCCTCATGTCAAATTCAGCTGATTTAACAAGGAAATACAATGGAAATTTATTTCTGCCTCACCCCAACTCCCTATCTTCAACTACCCTTTGTTAGAAGCAGCATAGCAGTGA